GCATCAATGATTATAGTGCGCATGCGCAAGGTATACCGCCCCTAGAGTGGTAACAAGCATTTTGATGGCCATTTTGAAAAAAAGGGTGATAACACTCAAAAAGCTGCCACCGCTGCAATGCTATCACATATTTTCTAATTCTGGAGGTGTATACCTTGCCAAAAATCGCTGTGACGATTATTCTCCTCATTTGATACCGGCGGCCAAAATTTTGGACCGAGGCTGATGGCCCAAGTCAAACAGTAACACACAACAATTTACAAGCAGTGGCATACTGTGTGCTTATAAAAAAAAACTCCTCCTATTTGGGTTCAGTAAAACTAGTCGGTAAAACATATGACATACAGCAAATAACTGGTTTGGATTTAGGAATAAATATTCAGTGGGATGTAATTGATATTTGTTTGATGGACATGAAAGATGCTTTTTTGTTTTCATTCATAATTCGCTACAGTATTCAAGCATAGTGTCAATGACCACAATATGAAAATTGAAGCTATACACACATACCGTACTTCATGTACATGTACAGCAGCATTGCCATCAGTATTTGTTCAAGTGTATACACACAATGACGGCATGATATTATGCTAATTTATAATTTTGCCCCATCCTCCACAGATGCCGGTTTTAGATGGCATTCCATTTACAACTGCCCATTCCTTCCCTTTGCAACCCCGGGGCAATATATATGCCACAAATACGCTTCGCTGTTCGGGCCTAAGCGGACACGCACTGTGTGATTAATACGAGTAAACACGCTGCACTCACAACACGTCCCCTACTGTCAAAATGGAATCTCCTAAACCTCTTAAAATTGACTAGACTGTCCCTTGCTCTGCATTTTTTTGAATTGAATAACAACATTTACCCCTGTACCAATCTGTCTCAAAGCCTACTTGACAAGAAATAGCATAAATTTACCGAATTTGTGGGAAAGGTTGTACCAGAGTTTTTGAGACAGGGTTGCAGTTCTTGTTAGAAATGCAATGAATCCGCCTGGTTGGCCAGTGCCGCGGACAACGGATAAGCTTGCATCATGGACCCAAAGGCATTCAGTGGTAATTTTAGCAGCGTTGACCGAGAAAGGACCGGTTTTTTAATTAGCAATCTTCTCTAATGCACCCATGTAGGTGTGAGTGGAATTGTAGACGGGATATAACACACGGGTACGTCGCCGTATAAATTTTTTTTTGTTTTTAAATTGATGACGATTTTATCAATTTCCAGGGTTGTTTTCTTAATTTAGTTTTTACTCACATGCAAGTGAGAAGCATTTGCAGGCATCTGTAATTGATTTCATTTTTTTTTTAGTGAATTTTTACTTTAGCAGATGTTTTAGTTGATTTCAGTTAATACATTGTGCCATGTCTGCATAAAAATATCGATCTTGCGACTAGGATTTATACAAGTCAATCGTCATGTCATGCAAACTAAAAAAAAATATCAACAATCGTGTTAGTAAACCACACAAGCTGATGATAATTATTTATTCAATTGTTATTTAAATTTCAGTGAAACTTTTTTTTTTAAATGCCCAGGAAAAACATGTAAAGTGAAACACACAAATAATTCATTATATTATAATCATTTTCAGAATATTGCCCCGAAATCACAGTAACTTACGATGAATCACCAAAATCCTTCGTTTCTTTCCCTCTCATGATCCACTTGACCAAGCTCAATCTCCCCCTCCATTCCTACCCTTTCATCAATTTTGCACAGGTCCCCAGCCTCCCCTGTTCTCAGGTTTTGTCGCCCCGAGGGACACTTGTCCCTTTACTCTGGTGCATGCAAGACTTGTCCACACTCTGTATTTATATGACTCATTAACCATGCAGGTCACACGTTTTTGCCTGACCGACGACTTGTGCCTAATGTGTGAGGTTAAAACAATGAAATTTTAAAGGGCATGTGTTCCATACAGTTCCCAAAAAAGTCAAAACAGCAGCACAAACAATAGAATTAGAAACGGAAACAAATGACCGAACAGACAAACATAACCCTTAAAAAACCCAAACGATCAAAACAGCAAGAGCTGAGATTATATTTGGCAGATGGCATCACCAAGCTAGAATATTTTCTCAAATTTCACATCCAGTAGTCACTAGTATTGTCCAAGACAGTGGGAGAAAGGAATTAATGGGATTGCTGTTTGTTTGACATTTACAACCTGTTTTTGGTCTAGACTCTCTCCAAAAGGCCAACTGCATTTACAACAAATTCTCTGATTGAACTCCTGTGCATCCGTACAAACATGTGATAACCTATCAGCTGTTAATCTAGTGGAATCACTTCCGTAATTGCTTCTAACAGGAAGTTGTGGCTGTTGTGTTTTTCCCCCCCCACACACACTCAGACAAAATATTTATCTTCATGTGATGTTCACAGCCTGCTCTGCTGATGTCAAACAAGTTTCTTGTCTCTGGATTCGGGAAAGCCATGGAGAACATTGTGACTAGCCTTGGCTATAATAATATTTGTAATTTGTGTATTTATAACGGCTGAGCTATTTGCTGTGGCTTGTCAGTTATGGGTGAATCGGCCATGAGAAGCTTTTAAATACAATCGCAGCAGTCTGAAGATGTTGATCGATCGCATACTTATTCCATATGCTGCTTGGTTTTTTTTACCAACATTCGCATAAGCTTGACATAATCAAGAAGGTTTTCCAGTGGTGCAAATTGGAGTAACCCTGATGCAATATTTTCTCGAATCTGCTGATTTTCTCATTTTTTACTTTTCATGAATGCCATTACAAATTGAACAACACTGTACAAAGTCTGGTGTGGTTTGGAGTTTCCTCAGCTTTTGTTTTGAAATTCCCTTTTGCATGCCTGATTTTAAGATCACTCGGTTGTACAGGAAAATATTTTTAAACTTCTGATATTTTATTTTGATTATCAGGCATGCAAATTTTCTTAGATCAGTTGATGTCCTTGTGTTTTGCTCCTGCACGCAGTGCACGGCAGCTTCATTTGCATGCGAAATCAAAGCCCTTTTTCAGATGTTTGCAGGTACATTGTTAAAACAAAACATACAAATTGAAAGTTCATAATTAAACAAATCAGTTTTGGAAGAGCATTGGATATGCATCTACTGGTTGTCTGCCTAGCGCCTGTTTACATTTGTACACGCACTGTTACAAAATGCTGTATTTTATGGAATTGAACTACCAACTGTCTGAAACTAGGTCCCCACTTGAAGTAAGAAAATGTACAGTTAGCAATTTCAGCTGTTTTTTAGGGCAGAGAAACAATAAATCAAGCTTTTGGAATTTTGTCTTCAGTGCACTGACACTGGTTTATATTATTCCCCACAAAGTTGGCATCTGCAGATTGAAATTAGCCTGGCGCCAGTCCTGTTGGGTCCCACCTACAGTCTGGCATGGCATCCCACTGAGTCTGGGCTCGGCCTCTCCCAATTGGGTAAATAAATGTTTGCAGGAGAACAGGTGAAGCGGGTGAGGTCAGGGGTCAGAGGTCCTGGGAGGTTTGGGAGTCGGGACGTGGAAGAATTTTAGTTCAAAAGGATTTGAGCTCAGTAGGAAAATCATGCTGTGCTTTTCTGTGCTTTGTATTTTTCTTTATTTTAAGGTGTAGGAGTTTCGGGCTTGAATGCTGTTGGTAATATTACGTTCACTAACTTGAACTTAAAAATTGTTTAATTGCCAGCCAAGCTGTTGTAAATGCTTGCATGGGATGAACACGTCTCCATTCTCCACAACAATCCACAACAATCCACAACAATCCAAAACAATCCACAACAATCATCCATCTCTTCAGCAGCCCATTTTCATCCATCCACACGTGTACATGTCAGCTTTTTATCAGTACCAGTATTTGAAAATAGTGTGTGTCATACCCGTACATATGTCATTGCTTTGAAAAAAACAAGAAGCCAGGTTATTGCTTTTGGATCGATTTGCGTATTAAAGGGGTTGTCTGCTTCTTGATCATTTGTGGGGTACCTACCGATGCTCAGACACAACTCTGGCTATAACCTTGCATCTATCCCTTTAATATGATTACATCATGGCGTATTTAAGGGGTGTTGATACAAATTGACCCTATATGCAGGGTTTCACTTTGTACACCTACCGGTATGAACATGTACGCTTGCATGCTTTACATGGTTGCATCATATGTACTTCCCCTATGCTTGCACAAATGAAGATTTCCCCCCTCTAATCCTTCAAGGCTCTATATATTTTATCTTATCACTTTACAGTGTTGAGTGGATTTCCCCTTGACATTCCTGGACTCCATTTTTGTCTTTTAAGAGATTACTTTTCCTCGGAAAGACCGCAGAAGCGGAAGCTATGTAGAGAGCTTTATTAGATTACTGAATCTTTATCATTTGAAGTATAGAACGTCTGTATTATATGTTGTGTGGATTTTTACATTCTGTAGGCTTTAGCCACGATGTTGACAGGGTCCTGATTTGTAGTGAAAATTTGACCGATTAACTGTTCACTCACAATTCTTTTGCAAAATGCATGTAAAGTATAAATCGAAGATGTCAAATTTAACATTGGTGAAAAGAGCACATTAACACACACCACAGAACTAGTCATCATTGTGATCATACCTTAAAAAGGTTGTTATTACAATTTTTAAGTAATCATTGTAATAGTAATAATAATAATAACTGGATTTATAGAGCGCCAAATTGCCAAAGGATACAAGGCGCTGAAACAAAGAAAGAAGAACCACAGAAAGAACAACAGAAAAACAACAAGGGCGTACGACCAGCTATGGTGTGGGGAAAAAATGGGTTTTGAGAGCCTTCTTGAAGATTGGCACAGTATCGGAGTTTCTGATAGGGATGGGTAAACTATTCCACAATCGGGGAGCAGCAATAGAGAAGGCCCGATCACCTGCGAGTTTATATTAAAAACCCAATTTTTGTTTTAAAACAATAGGGAAAAGACGCACTTTTTGTCCATTACTAGTATAATTAAGTTTTGTTTTCCTTCTATTTTTTTTCAAATATTGCAGGGGATCATCTCAGAATATGTCAGAAAAGTTTCACCTGTTGCACAGCGGACATGGAGGAGAAACTCAGCCAGACCAGCAGCACAGATTTTAGAGATATAGTTTACCAAAAGAGCAGCACGAGTAGAGATTACTTTGTCCGAAGGGCGGAGCGATTCGATAGTAAGTAACCCATCATTTCAGATTGTTGCTAAATTTCTCGTAGCAGAGATATAAGAAATGCCAAGAAATGCCCAGAGAAATGCCCAGCAAAGCTTTGAAGTAAGTTCCACAGTTGGACAATTAGGAGTGATAATATGCAAAAGATTGCATGTTGTAGTTGTTTGAAATTGCTCTAGAGTTCGGTCAATGGAAAATTCAAACATTAAATAGCGGTGTGCATTTACGGGTAGTACTGGACTCAGGTACCCTATTGAAGTAAAACACAGGTACCCGGGTACGGTAAAAGAAACCCAGCCCCAAAATTAACATCTCGTAAGTTGTCTGAAGGGCTGTATATGGCAATACGGCGTAAACTGCAACTTTGGCGAACGTCATCTGTTGAGCGTTGAAATGCACATAAACTTGAAATCTGTTTAGGATTTCTAGATGTAGCCTGGTTTTGATATTGAAAGTGCCCCACAAATGGCATTCAAAACCTTTCTTTTGCATTGTCTGAGAAGTTACTAAGTAGTTTGTAAAGAAGCTTTACAGGTACCTCATCCCATGATTTGGAACCGGTTTCTGACATCTGCGGTTGGGTACTCGGGTACCCAGTTCCGATGCACGGGAAACCACTGGTCAATCTGAGTCGTTCTTACTATTTGGTTCTTCGCAACTCTGGAACGCTAGTCAGAAGGGTTATAAGAACAGTGTCGCTCTTCTTGGAAAGGAGGATTTGGGTAGGAAATTGGACATAATTTTTGCAAGATGCTTGAATCGTGTCTCAGAGAAACTATAGATGATTAACATGGGATGTTAAGGTTGTTACCCCAGGCACAAAGTGTGGTCTGCATTTCCTTGGCTTTGCCTGGGCACCTACAACTTGGGTCTTCCTGCTAGAGCAACTGTAAGATGTTTAACCCTTTGTAAGCAGACAGCATTGGATTATTTTTTTCCCCAAGAAAATTCTACTCCTGGAAAAATAAATGCAACGAATTCAGTTTTGCACACAATATTATCAGTACTCCGCCATGACGCATAATGCACAGTGCAGTGAACGGTAGGACGCCCTTAAATAATGCAATTTTTGGGGTGTCGCACTCAGCGCGCCGATTTGAAGATTCAGGGCACGTTCATGCTGCAATTACTCCTTGCAAATTAGTCGCCGTGGTTGTCCCAAGAGGTGCAGAATTCTGAGACTGGCAATGAATAATTGCGCACAACATAGAAAAGCAATTTTCTTTAAGTACAGTACAACAATAGGCTGATTGGAATATGATTTCTCTGCTTTGTTTTGTGTTCGTATCACTCTGTTGTGTTTCTTCATGTACTTCTAAATTTTTGTTATTTTCAGCAGTCTGATCAATTTTGTTAATTCTTAGTATCATTTCCGTTTTTAAACTTAATATTGTTATTGACAAAGGTCAGCCAAGAGAGTCTAGGCAAAAAAGAAAATGTACAACTTTTAGGAAAACAACTCTTTGTGAGGTTTTTGTAAGGTATCGGTTGCTGGTATTGTGAAAAATAATCACAGCTTTAGCCCAATGGGGTCACAAGGTCGATCAATACATTCCTTCCCCTAGCTCGCTGTCTGCACCTCCGGTTAAAACTGGCTGAGAGAAGCATGTCTGGTTTCGGGCAATTGGAAATGACAGGAACCAGCCTGATCTTGACAAGACCTTCCACCACACAGTGGAAGGGCATTATAATGCAGTGATATTATGGGAATTCTTTTATTTTTAGATCAATGTTTTGTCCACTGCTGTTGCATGTCAAAATGTGTTTGTTTTTTGGAGTCAGGATTTTTTTTTTTAAATATAAGAGGATGTCTGCAAACGTTTTGCAATCGTCAAAATTATACTCAATGTTAAGTGAACCTTAATGTTAAACAGTACAGTACATGTACATGTTCCAACGTAAAAATAATGTCTGTAAGGTAATTTTGTTTGTGATTTCAGTAATTTGGATAAAATTTAAAAAAGCGTTTCATCAATAAGTGATAAAAAACAGCATCAACTCAAACCAAGCATAAATTATTAATGATCCCGCATTGGTGCAGTGCCCTCTTTATGTTTTGACACATGAAACGGTTGTTGGCAAAGGTCTTGTCCGAGAAGCAGTCTGCATTTTGTCAAATTCTCACCGTCATGGTAGGTCTTAGGTCCATGACCTGAAAATATTTACACGTTAAAGGACAAGTTTGGTGACAGTGCTGGTCGTCGGTCATAATGTACCGATCAGTTTGGATGGGTCATTTTAAATGAACCATTTTAAATGGGCCATTTTCATTTGATCCCTTTTTTCACATTTATGGCTTTTATTCTCAGTCAAGCTTGCCATACACGGATACTGTATTAATTCCCAAATTCCATACCAGGCAGTTTCGGACTTGGAATGAGCAGTTCCAAATAGGCCTTATGGGCCTTTTGGCTGTGGCTATGTATCACGACAGCCCAACATTGATGGAAATAATGGCCATAGCCTCAAACATAGCCTCATCTTGCTTTTTATTTGAACTTATTTGACCTAGAAACAACCATTCAATTACGCTCAAAGGGCAGTCCTTCAAAGGGCAGTAAAAGGACTTGGACAAGTTTAGCACCGGTCTCCGTTCCCCTTCTGGCTGAAGCAATCATATTGCATGTCCCACCTGTTACCTGCAGACTTTATGGATGCCTGTACCCTAGGGGTGGACATTCCACAATGAAATAGTGCAGGGGGCTTGGTGGTTTTTGTGACCAGCTTTTGTACCCTCCAGAGGTTGATTAAATTTTTACTGGAAGAAAAAATGGATGGGAATAAAATGGATTGAGATACAATGCAATTCTCCTTGCCCAAACCTTAGGGCAAGCATCACGTGTTGCAACTTGTGCTGTGTGGAATATCTGTGGAGTTCAATTTCATAATTTATCCAAGGACATGAATTCATATTTACTGGTACATGTAGTGTACATTCAGATTTGTGTTGTTTTTGAACTAGGGCTGTCCAATAATTTAGTATTTGATTATTCAAATATTTTGAAACTCGTCGATCAAGTTTTACACGCGCCAACTGCAACTGTGCGTTGCGCCGATCAAACGTTACACGCAAAGCGCGCCTCTTAAATTTGCGTGCGGCGATCGATATTATGGACCGTTCGACATAAAGTTGCGTGCGCCTGTTGAAGTATCAAGATTATCATGTGTATATCCACATATCTTGAAAGTAAAAATGTATGTATTCAGTTAAAATAATGGCGTCTGACAATACAGCGCCGCTACATTATGATTAAATTAATATCACAGTCGTACGTGTTTGTTGCCTAGTGTTTGTTCCTATAATATTCGAACTGGCAAAAAGCTATTCGAATATTTAGTTGATGATCAAATATTTGAATATTCGATATATTCAGGACTGCCTATTTTGAACTTGATACTTGTATACTTGTAGTGCAATACAGCAAAGATTCCATTTGTACATATCCGAGTATTCAGGACAAATTTGAATAAACCATCGCCCTGACATGTCAGGGTGTCCCTGCCTGAAGACACAGTGCACTTATCCAGCATCCTGACGGTTTCCTAAGAAGTTGCTAATGGGTTATGGAAGTACTGCCCCGGTTTGCAGTCCGCCTAGGCTTGAGCTCCACACCTCGCGTTATCAGTTTTCCCCTTTCGCTGGGGCAGTCGGGTGACAAGTCGTCGCGCAGGGGGCGTTGTCTTTCGCTATCGTGTATCAGATTGTGATCGTCTAGAAACGAGGGAATCAATACATACGGATCGGCACTTGGGTAACCCATGCAGGTGCTTTCAGAAGAAATGTGAGATGTTCTCAATGCTTCTAGCTGTAAGCTTTTATGAGTTGCATGCTGGAAAAAAAAACCCCAAAACCATGAATTTATTCCTCCACCCGGAAACCATGGCAGCTGAACAAATTAGCTTGTAAATGCGTGTGAGCATTTTTTGCAACAGATCACATTTGCAGCAGAAATTGTTGTGTACATATAGATAATTGCTCGTTAAAACTGTCTGGCTTCGTGTCAATGATGCATCTACACGCACATTGGAAACAGACACCGTTGTCAGTTGTACATGTAGCAGGTGCATGGGTACCAGCCGTGCAATTCATCATCATGTCACTTTTTTGTCACTTAATAAATTCCCATGTCCGGTAAAACTCTAGCTACATGAGTGTCATGAGCTACACTAGGGTCTAGGGATACCTGTTCTCCTTGTGTATCAGTCAGTTTTGCTGGAGACATGCCCATGATGTTTGAATATTAATCTTCCGTTTATGGATTGGCAACATGTTGATTTTTCTCAGTGAAATTTCCGACAGAGTAAATCCTCAGGTGTCTCTTAATTCTCACTTCCCAGATGATATTAATGTTCCACTCACTCTATTAGATCGCTTTCTAGCGTCAGTTTCCCCCCCCCCCTTAATATACATCTTGTTCGCAGCTATTCATTTTGACACTGAGCAGCACAAGATTGTCCCAGCTGAGGCCGAGTACCTCCTTTGTAATTTAATGAAACGTCACACCTCGCTACAGCTGTGAAAAAAATTGTCGCGAAGAATATAAATCCCTTCTGATTTCCGCGTCAGTGTTGTACCGTAGTGCTCCCCGTTCGTTCAAAGTTGAGGTTCATAAAACGAAGTCGGCAGGGACCGACCCTTCAAATCCTGTCCGTATTATTAACCTCAACCCCGTGATTTGCCAGTGCTGGACTGTCGCGGTTAAATTGTTGACGAAAAGGGCTTGAGAGATGTGGGGAGATGTGGCGATACAGAGCCCTGTCGCCTCGGAAATGTGCCAGTAAGTACGGTGGAAGGATGAAGATAGCTAAAATATTTATATTTAGCACGTCTGGATCAGATATGTTTTCTCAATTCTTGTCCATCTCATTCAAGACCTCTTGATTGCAATTTCCCCGTAACAACATTTAGGAAATAACGGAGAATTCCTGATTAAATTATTGGACAAATTGTTTGCTGTTATTCTAAATTTAGAACATGGCCAAGTCCCTGATTTTTTTTATTA